TTATCGCTGCCAACCATCTGAAGGAATTCTGGGGTGAGGCAGTGTCGACAGCGACGTTTCTCCAGAATCGGCTGCCATCCCGTTCCGTCGACCGGACGCCGTTCGAACGCTGGTTCGGACGTAAGCCAGTGATGCGGGATCTGAAAGTTCTCGGATGCGAGGCCTATGTCCACATCCCAAGCGAGAAGAGGGGAAAGCTGGAGAGCAAGGCCAAGAAGATGATTTTCATTGGCTACTGTAGCCAAGCCAAGGCGTATCGGTTCCTCGATTTGGAGACTCGACGGTTGACTATTAGCAGAGACGCTCACTTTCTGGAACTGTGAGCGGAGATCCATTCAGAAGGAGATTGCGGCTCAAAGGAAGTTGAAGTCGAGTTCGGCCGAACCGAAGAGGATTTGATTCCGGACGTGGTCCCGGATGAGGATGAAGAAGATAACGAAGACGGTGATGAATCTTTCTATTCCGGATCAGATGAGCAAAGCGATTCAGCGGGAGATACGGACGGTGAAGCCACAGGAGGAGAAGCTAGTGGCCTGCGCCGATCGCAACGAAGCACGCGGGGTGTTCTTCCGCAGCGGCTGAACGACTATGCAGTAGGTAAGGTTAGCCTAGCTACCTACTGCAGTGAAGAACCGACGACATACGAGCAAGTGATGGCTTCCGTTGACAAGAAGAAATGGCTGACAACGATGAAGGAGGAGATGCGTTCCCTGGAAGAAAGTGATACCTGGGCGTTGGTGAAACTTCCTGCGGGGCGCGAACCCGTTGGTAGTCGATGGGTGTTTAAGAAGAAGGAGGATTCGGATGGTCAAGTTGTGCGCTTCAAGGTCAGGGTTGTAGCGCAAGGCTATTCTCAGCGATTCGGGCGTGACTTCGAGGAAGTGTTCGCGCCGGTTGCGATGCAACAAACATTCCGGGTACTACTGGCTATGGCGAGCAGCAAGAAGATGGAGGTGAGGCATATTGACGTTAAGTGTGCTTACCTCTACGGCCAGTTGAAGGAGGAGATTTTCATGACTCAGCCACCCGGTTTCAAAGTTCCCGCAAAGAAGGATTGGGTCTGCAAGCTAAACCGAAGCATCTATGGCCTGAAGCAGGCCGCTCGGGTTTGGAACCATACTATAAAGGATTTCCTCATTAGCATTGGGTTCCAACAGTCTGCCTCGGATGCCTGCTTGTTCATCAAGGATCTGAGGAACGGAGAGCGAATGTAACTGCTCTTATACGTGGACGACATGATCGTCGTTTGTCGTCTGCAGGAGGAGATCCGCAAGGTTGAGGAGCAGTTACGGAAGAAGTTCAACATCTCTTCCTTGGGAGTAATCCGTCATTTTCTTGGGATCAGTGTGAAACGAGGAGCGGATGGAGTTTACTCAATCAACCAAGCATCATTCATCCGGAAGATTGCCAAGGTCTACGATTTGGAGGAGGCGAAACGGTCGACTATTCCGATGGATACTGGCTACTACAAGAGCAGATTGGAGTCGAAGAGCTTGGCGAACAACGTCGAGTATCATCGTTTGATCGGATTGCTGCTGTATATTGCCACCAATACCAGGCCTGATATAGCAGCATCAGTGTCAATATTGAGCCGGAAGATCAACAACCCCTTGCAAGCGGATTGGAATGAACTCAAGCGGATTGTAAGGTACTTGTGCGGAACGGTGGACTACAGATTGTACTTCGATGCTGGCAACCTGAAGCTGGAGGGTTTCTGCGACGCCGATTGGGCAAGTGACACTGCTGATTGGAAGTCGAACAGCGGATTCGTGTTTCTTCTTGGCGGTGCAGCTGTGAGCTGGGGAAGTCGCAAGCAATCATGCGTGTCTACTTCAACGATGGAAGCCGAATATGTGGCGTTAACAGAGGCTGGACAAGAAGCTGTGTGGCTACGTAGGCTGTTGAAGGAGCTCAACGAGGAACAACAAAGTCCAACCATCGTTTGGGAAGACAACAAAAGCTGTTTGGATTTCGCTACTCTGGAGAAGCAGAACCGTCGTTCCAAGCACATAGATACTAACTATCACTTCACCAGAGAACTTTCATCATCAGGGGAGATTATCCTGAAGTATCGCGAAACGGATAACATGGTCGCGGACATAATGACAAAACCGTTGGGAGCTGTCAAGGTTCGGAAGTTTTCCGAAATGCTGGGCTTCCGGAGTGAAGCAGCCAGCCAACCCTGAACATCGAGGAGGAGTGTTGAACCGCCTTGTTCCCACAGGGCATATAGTGCGATGTCACAGAGTTGGTAACCCTATTCTATCTCTTTGTTTTTGCTATCGATCAGTTACAAATAAAACGCAATTCAGTTAAGTACAATAAAATCGCGAGTCATATTTTATTACCCCGAATTCCACACTTGAATCACGCGGATTCCACTGCCCAAAACTAAATTTTAGACAGAACCGCTGAGGTATACCTGGTAGATGTACCGGTAGGCTACGCCAGTCCCCAGCCAAGTAAGGACAATTCTGGCACGAACTGCCGAAGCCGAGTCCGTCAACACACTCGGTGGCCCAGCCAGCATAAGAAGTTGAATAGCGCGCGAAGGAGATTTCCAACGCCACCGAAGGAGAGAAGGAAGAAAATGGAACGTGGTGCCGAGCAAAGCCGTCGTCGAGGAAACGTGGTGGTGGATCTGCAAGGGGCCCCGAAGAAGAAGGGAAAGACAACAGAAACAGGTCAGATAGAAATTAAGAAAGTGGGAGTGTTACATACGTAGGGAGGAATAAAAGTGTTAGTAGAATCCGACAATAAAAAGTGATAATTTGGAATATTGAAGTGCTGTAGGAGTTTTTGCTGTAACCAGTGCGATCATTCCTTGCCACGTGAAACCTATAGTTGCTATATTCATAGTCTGGCGAATAGAATTTCGATCTATCAAAAAGCGGAACCATTTCAATATATTGTAGACCAACAATTGAAAAGGTGCTATCAACTTTTATAAACAAAACGTTGTTTATTCTTTCTCCGCCAATTGAAGGTAAATTACCAGCCTCATCGGATAGGGGAGACTTTCCACAACCTAAAGATGGCGTTAGTTTGTGTAGCTGATCCTTTAGTCACGAGAAAACGCTTTCCGAAATTTTGTTCGCAATAGCTGATGTGCTCTTTTCTGTTATTGGTCGTGATTTGCTCGATTGGTTCCGCTATTTGACAGCTCAATTGGTTCCCGAGATTCTATCCGCCAGACTATGAATATAGCGACTATAGTGAAACCTAGTTCGGTAAGCGTGCTGACCCTGAGACCATTGTAGTCAGGGATTCTCAGGATCGCTCCCAACTGAGGTAGCTAGCACTTACAGGTTCATGACGTTGTTCGTTGACAAACTTCCAAAACTGATTGGGACGTGAGTTAAGCTTTCTTTGCAATCCACGTCGATACTGAAGATACCGTTTCGCAACTTGTTTGTATTCGTGATTGATGCTGACATAGTGACGTTGAAGGGATAGTTTGTGGTGCTTGGTGAATTTCCTAAGAGCGGCTCTCTTTTTTCGCTCATATGTCATGGTGGATGGGTCGTATGATGATGAATCCTTTTCGGAACATGTCTGTCAATAACATATGCCAAGACATTGAATATAGTTTGAGCGGCGGACTCAATGTCAACTAAACTGGAGAGTTACTCGGCGTTACTACAGTAGCGGCGGGTGATGCTAATCCAGTCTCACCAGAGGAGTGGGCGCCTTGCATAAGAAAGGAGCTATGTCCTGGGCGGTTACAAAACAAAGATCTAAACTGCGGTTGTTCTGGTTAATAACATGATTGATTTGAGAAAGAGTGGCTGAGCTGTAAGTGTCCAGAAGGAGCGAAGCGGTGGAATGGATGACAGAGTAATCCATATCAGGATAGAGGAAGCCGTTGCGATACTTTTTCCATGAAATCCCCGGGAGATTGGAGTCACTGTTGACACCACTGGGCTTCAGCTGTACTCGCGACCGGCCTGCCGTGAAGTGAGATGTGAGAAGCGAGATGTATGTGTCACCGGTCTACAGCGGTAGGACCGTCGTTGATTGTTTACATCGATTCGTGGAGAAGTAGAACGGAGGATACAAACAAAACCAAACCCAAGAGATAGTGGAGGAGCTCAGTTTTGTTTAATAAAGTTGTAAAATCACAAATAAATTAAAGTTTAAATCAGTTTTCTGTGGAGGTGGTATTTTCTTAGTTTAGTGCTAAATATTCCGTAAGTAAACAAAATGAAATGTACTATACTTACTAGATGTGACATCAACTATTTCAATATTAGGGTTGACTTTCTAAATCGGATGAGTACCTGCCAGAAGCTGAAGATACTATCAGAATAGTTCCGTAAACAAGTTGAATTAATTGATTGATTGTGAGTACCTATAAATAATAAGATTAGAAGCAAAACAATTAGAAACTAAACTTACCTATTTAGGACTAGTGTTGGAACTGAAAACAGCAGCATAACCAGTGTCGTAGCACGAGGGATTAGAGGGGACTATTTCTTGTAAGTAATTTAGTAATTAATTCAAGGTGAAATAGTTCTTTATTAAAATATATATTACAGTTGAGCTGCTTGAAAAGTTGCTGCAAAAATTTAGTCATATTCTATAATTGATCCGAACAGTCACCAAACACAACTAGCAGGCCAATGAAAATGCGGAGTCTGGAAACTACCAAGCACTTAATGAAGAAGGCGGATCATAGAGGATACGATTTTTGATATACGGTGCTCCATTGTCCCTCAAAATTAAAGCTTTGGAATAGAACGATGATATCCATGGGTATGAAAGGAACCAAGGTCATCCATTGGATACAGTTCCGGTTTATTGGATAGCACAATTATTCATCCGATTCAAAGCGTCAACTATTCACGTTCAACCTCTTTTTATTTCTCGATAGGTTTCCATCAGCTCACTCGATCTGCTGGTAATGCACAGTTCAACGAAGACTAATGGCTTTTTAGCATGAAATGTCCATGTTACACATCACTAACTGATATCACTTACATAATCTATTTCCTTTGTAGCATTTGGTGACGCATTCCAGCTGGGCACGGAACAATCGTACAATTACCTGAACGAAGTTCGGGTGGGCGACGCCAAAAACGCAACTCACACCGTCGGGTACCTCGTCAAGGCCAAAGTCCACGTGGCCACCGTTTGGGGCGATGACGAGCACAAACTGCTGCGGCTCAAGGTAATTATATTCACAGTAATGTGGTGTTTACATCTGTGCGGATTTGCTAGCGCTAGTGTACTAGTCAATTAGCAGGAATTTCAGTTGCTCCTGAAATCTCATGCTGATAGCCGCTGGTGCCCTGTTTACATTATGCTGGTGAGCTTTTTTGCATACAATGATTTGAAATTCCCTATTTGTGCATTGTAGATCTCGAGTCCCAGTCTATACACTACACCAGGTGAGGTGAAACAAAGGACAACACTGGCCAGCATCGATTCGACCCCATTCTACGTCTACTGGAACCTTGGATCTGTAAAGAAGATCTACTTTGAAAAGCAAGAAGATGCCTCGTTGGAAAACTTCAAGAAAGGAGTTGCCACCTTATTCCAGTATCAGCTTCTCGATGGACAGTACGTCGAGGAAGATCCATCCGGAACGTGCGAGGTGCAGTACACATCGCATTCGTCAACCCGCTATCACAAAGTGAAGAATAACTGCAAGTTTGCGGGTGATCGCCACGAACGGACCGAATATCCAATGCGTAGTTTGATCAAGACAGCTCGCAGTGTTGATTTCACCGTCAGTACGGAAGGAACACTGGTGAAGGTGGACGCTCTGGATTACGTAAAATATCTTGTCAATGCATACGATGCCCTTGGAGCGTTTCTTGAGTCTACGACTAAGCTGGAACTAGAAAAAGGATCCAGTAAAGTGAGTGTCGTTGAGGCCAAGACAGTCGATGAGGTTGTCAAGTCCTTGGCGGTGACAGAACAGGGCTTATTATCGGCAGAATTTCAATCTAAATGTGATGGAGATGGCTGTGATAATGTAAGTGATTAATTTCTTTCACATCAAGAATAACATTTCAAATGGAAAACTAATTTCTTCCAGCTGGTCAAGTTGGTTAAAAACCTCAAAAAGAGTCTCACGAATGTACGCATCGGAAAGCAGGATGCGTCTGCTGCGCTAGTCGCTCTGGTGAAACAAGGTCGCCAGACATCAACGGAAGATTTCCACCGTATTCTCAAGGCAAAGACTATGGATGAGCAACAGGGGCAACTGCTCGATCTGCTGGGTGCCATTCAAACCGTTCAATCGCATAAAGCTGCCAAGACCTTGCTGAAGTACGAATCGGATGAAGAATTGTTGCTTGCTGAACGGTATCTGCAAGCGCTTGCTGTGGGCAGTCGACCCAAGAAGGCCATTATCGAAGATCTGCTAGAGATGGCCGAGAAGAAGCCAAACAATAATAAGTTCTATGACACTTTGCTGCAAACACTTGGATCGTTAGCACACCGCTATGCCAAACTTCCTGGAAATTCGTACGACACTGAGCTGGTCGAAAAGGTCAAGAACTTTTTGCTCTCGCAGCTAGACTGGTGCAAGAAAGACAGATGTAAGGAGAAGTTCATCCGGGGGTTGCACAATCTAAAGTCACCGAAAACACTGGATATTCTAATCAAGCTTGCCAAGGAAGGTAGCGCCAAGATCAGCGTAGCAGCTATGAAAGCCTTGCGTTCATTTTCCGTATTCCTGTGGAACGATGAATTCAGAGCAGTCTTCGAGGACATCTTCATGCAAGTATCCAAGAAATACGACTCAAGTGCCCGAGCGTTGGCTCTCGATATCCTTCTGGACCTGAAGCCGGACTTTGAAGAATTGATGCATCTAGTGCAGGTTTTGAAGTCCAACGACAAAGCATACGAAGTGAAGCAATATCTTCTTCAGAAGGTACGAATGCTGGCTGATCGCTGTCCGGACTTTGCTGCCTTGCTGGAGAAAGTAATACGACGTGATCCCCAATTGAATAACTACCACATTCTTGGTGCTAGAGGACTATCGGTGGCTTTAATGAGAACTTATTCCAAAGTCCCTTCGTTCAACGCATCTCTGGAGTCTCTTCAGGAGATGAATGGAGGTGTCCTGAAGCGAGGTATCGTGGATCTAGCCTTGGAAGTCGGCGAGGAGAAGTTCAGCATGTTCACCCTTGGATTGTTCGCCGGAGGACTTTCTTCGTTTGTTAGTAGTGGTGACGAGGAGGTTGAGGATGACACTGATTCGACCGCTGGCATGGAACTGTCAGTACAGGGATCCGTTCTACGACCCCTTGTTTTCTTCGACGGCAAAGGTGAGCTCATGGGACATGTCTGGAGTGGAACGGCTTCCGAATCGACTCCGGCCTATCAGGCAACCACGTTGCTTCAGGACAATGAAGAACGGTTCCCTCTGCAGAACGGTGCTATCGTCAAACTTAGTACCCTTGGTGCCATCTCAATCGATTTGAACGGGCAGGTGACGATGAGCATTTGGGGACGAAATGCACAATCCAAGGTGGAGCAGAAGTGAGTCTTTAGAGGATTATCTTTTAATGTTTAAAAAATAACATCACAATCTTTACAGCACCGGTATAACCGTAACCGGAAGCCTTTCACTGGATACCTCGTTCGTTTCACTAAACGTCCACTTCAACGTTGGTCAGGAACCGCAGCTGCATCTGTCATCGGATTTGGACTTTTCCACGGATAATACGCTCTGTATGCAGCTGAGACAGACGGACAGCGTTTTCAGTCGGAATGTGGTGGAGTCGGTTGCCGTTCCTGGAACCAAATACCGGAAGGTGCACACCAGCAAGATGACGTACAAACTACCTGGTCATACGCATGCACTGAACCAGAAGAATAACGACATGTGCAATCTGATTGCGAAAAGCTGATCCCGGTTCGGAACGAAGGCGAAGACGAATAAGATGAAAAGCGATTGGTCCATACGACAGACCAAGGCAACCATTTTGCTCCCAAAAATTACCGTTTAGGATGAATTTGAAGTGCAGTTAATTGATTTACTGAATTTGATTTACCAATCGAAGAGAGTGACTGATCGGGTGCGATTGTTGTACAGTAGAGTGGGAGTGTTAAAAGTAAGTTGAAGATAAAAATAAAAACAAAGATTTCCTACTGAGAAAGTGGTACGATTTCAATAATATCCAATATCCGTCAAGCTACGAAACCGATAAACCGTGGAAGGAATAGGTATGGTTGGAAATGCTCTAGTTACACACTTAAGTAACAGATTTGCAATGTATTCAGCACCGTACTCAGCAGTGGACGAAGGTTACGTTTGCCACTAAAAAAATCCTGAGGGGCGGAAAACCTGCTCCAATGTTCTTTGATTTGTTTCATCAACTTCTTACCAGGATTATTTTATTTAAGTTATCTCATTTTGACGAAGGTCTCCGAACTTTCATGACCTTTTCCAACTAACTTTAAATGATCTTTATTTCTTGTGTCTGTGTGGTTTACATGTATGAATTTTCAAGTGACACAGATGCGTCTTTTCAACTTTAGTACATTTGAGATTTTAATTATTATTTACAGTTCCTAGTCTTATCAGGTCTGTTTTAAAGCATCCCTATTAAACGGGTACCATACACTAACAATATCATAGATAGTATGAGCATACCACATAAAGTTGGGATGATATCCCGAATTGGTGGTTAGGCGCTTCTTATAGTTATTTTTTATGCGGGTGACCACCTTGGTGGGATTGGTTTGATTTGAATTGGATAATGGAGACTACTTATAAATGCTATTTAGAACTACAACTACAACTAACCTACAACTACTATATATGGCTGCATTTCTGCACAAACCTAGCTTCTCTACGATTTTTTCTAAACATCTGAGTGAAACAAAAATCCCAAACCTTCCAGTAAAATCCCTAATCAAAGCCTGAAGTTCAAAATTCTCTGAACTTCTACGTTCAGTTCGCTGAGGACCTACAGTTTTGGCTGAACTTCTACGAAGTCCTTGAACTTAAAATTCCCATAACTTCTATGAAGTTTTACCAAAAATCAATACGAAACTATCGATTATAAATTGGTTCACTACTTGACTAGCCTATTCTCGATGAACATTTCAAATGGTCCTATCTGCTTTGAGCGATTCTCTTCATCGACTTTCTCTTTTCATAACCACTGCTATGCAAACAGATTTCGCGCTAATTCTACCACATAGGGGAAATGTCTCTAATGTTGGCCTATGGATCTAAGATTGAACCCATCGCTTCTTCTTCTTCTTCTTCTTCGCTTTTTAAGCTTATTGCATATGGCATATTAGCTTATTGCGTGCTCTCAACTTAGTGTTCTAGATGCACTTCCACAGTTATTAATTGAGAGCTTTCGATGCCTGTACCATTTTTGCATTGGTATAATTGTGTGGCAAGTCCAATCATACTTCTATGCCCAGGGAAGTCGAGAAATTTTCCAACCCGAAAAATTCCTAGACCGGACCGGGAATTGAACCATCCACCTCCAGCATGGTCTTGCTTTGTAGCTGGGCCTTTACCGACTGAGCTAAGGGAGACCCCATCGCTAAAAAATCTGCTATTTATCAATTTTATCTAGATGAACGCGTTATTGGGACGTTACTAATCGATATTTTTGGTTGCTATTGAAAATTTAGTCGATTGCTGAATTTATGTATGGGCCCAAATTAGGGACACTTAGGTCGACATTACCTGCATTTCCCCTAGTTTGATAAAGGAGGTTCTTATCTAGCGTCCAAAACGTCAAATACAACAGGGAGAGGTATTGCAGCTGAGTTATTGACGAAACAGAAAGTCGATGAAGAGAATCGATAAATGCAGATAGGACCTTTTGAAATGTTTATCTAGTATTGGTCCCAAGCAAATCGATTAACGTACCCCATTCTAGTCGAAATTCTAGTACTACACTGTTTGTTTGGATTCAATATGAAAGTTCGACAGATTAAATGAGAGGTTCGTGGATTTTTCTGTTTCGAGGGGTGCATCGATTAGCTTGGGACCGAAGATAGTACCAGAGCTGAGCCAAAAAGTTTAGCTCGTTTCTTCGGACCTTCTGGTCTTAGAGTTACCTCTATGCTTTTACAATTCATTTTATTGTTTTTATTTTTCTATTGTTGAAAATTCATGCTATATGAAACGTATTGTAGGTCTATTAATTAATCTATTGATGCCATCCCGCATAAACAATAACCACAGACAAACAGACATAACACATTGAATATTTCTCGCTGTAAAACATCCTCGCTAAAACATTACCGCCATCTGTTGAATACACTGTGGTGGGTAGTACGCTGAACAGGTGGCGGTAGTGTGTAAACGTCAAACGCAAGGGAATTGACTATGCGCGCCACAGGTGGCGGTACTACTAACTACGATACTTTTAAATTGACCGTTAAATGCTTGTTCGATGAACAAATTGCGAGTGTTATGTCTGTTTGTCTGTGCAATAACCATAAGTAGCGCCTAACCACCAATTCGGGATATCATCCCAACTTTATGATATCGTTAGAGTATGGTACCCGTTTATTAGGGATGACAATATTTTCAATTTACTTGTATGATATACATACAATAAGATCGATTGTGATTTTATATTATTTTATCGTAATTGTATCACGGAGAACCGAAGCAACTCAAAATCGAGATAGAAAATACTTAAAAATAAGTTCTTCTATAACACTACTGTTTGGGATACATTTCTTTCTTATTGATGAGTACTTTTAACTTAATCTTAAAGTATAACCAAAACAGTTACTTTTACCACAGACAAACTTTTACTGTGAAAGTATCCAAAATTGAGTTTTGCTATTGTACTTTGTTTTGGACGAAAAACTGTGACGTTCGACATTTTTATTTCAGCTATGTCTTTTCCCGTTTGGAATCTTAACCTCGAAGTTGTGTACCATAAAGGATTAATCTAGTGATTACTATGTTTACTGTTGCGGAGAGGAAAAAGGTAAGTTCTACATGGTTCTACTAAACATAAACAGTACGTGATTTTTTTTTTCTTTATTATAGAGATTTTTAGCCATAGGCTAGTTCATCTCTTCAGTACGTGATTGAATTCCGGAAAGATGTAGTAATTAAACATAATTCCTTCTTAGGTCTCCATCCTGCTGGCCAAAAGTATCTTGCCGGCGACACTGCCTCCACCAGCCAACGATTACTCCACAGCAGTGCGCAAAACAGTCAGGTTCATTGAGTCATTTTGATATGAATATGAACTGCCATTTGCCTCATCATTCACTGCCTCGTGAGAGCCTGAATGATTGAGAGATAAACGAGTCACTGACAGCCGAGCACTCAGTCAGTAGCTCAGTCAACACGTTTATTCTGCCGTGATGGTACCCAATATTTGTTTTGAATGACTGAGCGTACATTTTCTACGGAAAAATGACTCAATTACATGCTGTGTGAGCGAAGACCAGCGGTGTGCGTCGCCTGCTCGTGAGTGACTGAATGTTTTTGTTGGCTCTTTCATTGCCTCTCCTTTACCGTTTGGTACAAACGGTCTGCACAGAGCAATGAATTGAATAGTGAAGTGCTTTCACACTCAGCCTAGGCAGTCAATAATTTTACGCTCTGCTCCACAGTCGAGTCCACAATTGATCATTTTGTCAAGCTTCTACATTCATGTTCCATCAGATGTCACAGCTGTTGTTTACGGTGACATCTATCGGAAACTAGACACAATCTGTTTTCCTATAGTTGTTCACAGAGGACACTGCAGTGCAAAATATGTCTGGTACCTCTATATATGCATTTAGATTATTATTCGAAGTCCCTCCTTTTTTACACATTCTGCACACAAAATAGCTCACCCCTCACAGAATTTACCGCCGAATTTTATGTATAGGGCGGGGCATAAAGTATCTTTTGCGCAGAATATGTAAAAAAGGAGGGACTTCAAATGTTAAAGCAAATGCATATATCAAGAGCAAATTTTCATTATGTCGTAAGTAACATTCGCACCAATCCGAGAAAAATAAAGTTTTGTTTTGATGACCGAAAAGTTATTCCTATTTCCAAGTAAACACATATAATCTCATAGTGATAGCAATGTTTAACATATTTAGCAGGGTTTTAATCATACAAATGCAAATCGCTAGCTTTCATGCTAAAAAATACTGGTTTTTGAGTCAAAATTTATTATACGTCGTTTGGTGGCCCCTATTGTTACTTAAGTCAAAGTGTATTTACCAGGATATTCGGGAGAATTATCAATTACGTCTCCTTACGTGCATCCCATTCATCATTTTAGAACCACCGAAATCATCTTAGCAACAAACAGTTCGATTTATTCACTTTAATAATGAGAAAGCGAAACGACGAACGTACACTTTTCACGGGTTTGTCAGCACTGTTACTTAAGTCAAACGGCATCTCCATAGAAATTGGGTGACTTAAGTAACATCGAAAACTATTTTGATCGGAAGGTGATTACGTCAAAAAGCAATTTGACTGGTAAATAAATTTAAAAATGGGATTTGATCCTATATTCGGACAGTATATAGTGTAATAGCAGGGGAATCGATTAACACTGATAGCTCGACTTTGTTTACCTTTGTTACATTCGACGTAATGAAAATTTGCTCTTGATATAGAGGTACCAGACATGTTTTGTAGTGTCAGGTACTATATTTTGTAATCTGTGAAAGGGAAATCACAAATCGAGTGTCAACAAAATACATGGCATGTTGAGAGATTGAGCTCGTGAGAGAGAATTTCTCTCTCAAATTTGAATTTTTTGGCTCTCTGGGGACTGGTAGTAAAGCAGGTAAAATTGTATGGGGAAAAACCATTTTTATTTAATTGTAGCTTGCTTAACAATAATTTCCGGGAAAAAACTGAACGACAAAGTCCCTGATTAATTTCTTTAGGTTATCGTTCGCTTTTTTTGACCTGAATATGCACCGAAAGCGAATTATTCCCACTTCTCTCAATTTATATATGGGGATTTTTAACACTTCCTACCAGCGGAACAGCGCCATCTCTGTGGAAAATGGTCGAACAAAATGATTAATTAGTAAGATAACCATCACTCAGTATCCGAAGGTAGTGGATCAATGAAGGTAACGACATTTTAGTTTTTCGATCCAATTTTCAGGATGATTGATCTTTGCTTCTTTTTCCATTTTTTTTACCACAAATACAGAACAATCAGGCTGAGTTTCATGGGTCTGCTACGTTTACTTCGAATGCACCAGCCGGAATCGGGAGCCGAGAGTGAATCCACTGAAAATGGAGAAGCTTGGAATTTTACCCTGTCAACCGGTAGATGGTAAGCTCAACAAACAGATTTTATTGTAATAAGTATAAATAAAGTCAAACATAAAACTGGTGTTTAGTACTCTTCACAAATAAAAAAAAAACAACTGAAAAATCCTCTTTTCAACTAAATTTTATATAATTAAAACCCGGTTTTGCGTAGTTTTTATCCAATATTCACTCTTCCTGAAACAGTTGAATTCTACCTTAAAACGAAGTGTTTGCAAAATACTTAAATTTGGATTCTTTGTAAAGAGCTCAATTATTATGACTGGTTTCACTTAGGTGTCAAGATGAGTAAAAAAGACTTAATTTGAGTTATTTCGTTTCCCCGTGAAGATTATTTTTTCCGGGTTAGACTCAAATTATCCTATCCTATTGCGAAGCGCTTCGTAACGCCTTGAAACATCACTGCTCGTTGACTTGTTTTTCACCACCGGGTGCACAGCGCCGAAGCATATTTTTCTGTCAACAAACCGCACACACACCACTATCCATTCGCCCGTGTAAACACAGCAAAATGTATGCTCCGATGCGCGCCTGTGTTGGTTCGATTCTTCGGATGCTCTTCTGTGTGTCCGTTTACGTTCGCCCGTTCGCTTTGCTTCTTCGGGGTCTTTTCTATGTACAAACCGTTCCAACTCCTTCTCGTCGTCATTTAATGCCAAACTTTGCATGAATTCGGTTCGCGTTAGTCCCGCTACAGAGTAGAAGTAGTGTTACTTTTTTCCTTACCTGCGGAAATCCTCACGGAACGCGTGAGACAGCACGGCGGAAGTGGTTCGATTGATCCCCGAGTAGTTGGGAATAGGCAGTGAAAAAATATTTCGACTGCGACGGCGGTGGCAGCCGGGGCAACGATGTCCTGTGGCGAATAGTGGTCTTTTTTTTCTGTGGCTGATTATACCCTCTAATGCTGTTACTGTGTACATTTACGGTGTGTGGTGCTCTTGATAATATCGTTCCATTTTTGGTTCATTGCTAATTTTTTTTTTTCTTTGGCTGCGACTAGCCTTTGGCACCCTTTTATCAAATCGAGGCAGAAGAGTGATTGCGATTAATTGTTTTCGATTGGAGTGCTGGGGATGCAAATCTAGAAGAAAGCGACAATCAGTAAATTCCGATGCACCAGCTGAAGAAGAACCTAGCTGTTGGCAGAGTGGTATTTTTTGTGCAAAGCTAAAATCGGGACAGAAGAAAGAAACTAGCAGGAATTCGAAGAAGTCGGAAATAATTATTTTCGATAACGGAGCACTCGTGATTATCATCGGTGGTATCCGCAACTAGCACAGAACTAGCTGCCGTAGCAGCTGCAGAGCCAATAGACAGGAGAAATAACACCTAGACGGAGGAGGAAACATTTATGATTGGTGCTGGAGGTAAGTTGAAAATCCTCTCACTTCCGGTCTAGTCTCGCCGTATAGCAAGAAAGAACCTAGGTTAAGAATCGATGATTGCACAACTACGATAAGTTGTATTGGGTAGGTACCTGCCTTTCACACGACATGACTGGTTGAATTTATTTACAATTTGTTAGCGAGAAACACACACCAGCGAAAGGTAAACAACCAACAACAGTAAGATGGAGACAGACTGACGGACTCGGGGCAGTGGCCAAAGCTGCATTCTGCTAGCGCGCGATGCTAATGCACTCTTACTTGGCTCCTTCCGACGACAATGATTTGCATATTGGTGCTGCTTTATGCGGGTCGTGGAGCGGGTTGGTCCTTAGAATGGTACAGATCTGCGTTTGGTTATAAGAAAGGTATATGATGTAGAATGATGTCATTATGACGACGGATGGGTATTCTGTTTGAAATAGAAACAGAGACGAAAATGACGTGCTCGGGGGGCACGTTGCTTATTTCCACAACTATACTGCCGACAGTTAGCCGGAATCTCGTCTCACGCAGGCGGCTGTTCGTTTGCCGTATGACGACGAAAGAATGACGGGGGCACGAGTGAGCGGTGCGTTTAGTAAACATCAATTAACTTGTTTTTCAGTTAAGGTTCTACAAAGGGTCATTATTTTGTTTACTTCTTCTTTTTGAAATATTCTTCGATCATCATTTTCTAAATGTATTGGTAAAATTCATTGGAAGTGCATGTCCCCACGCCAAAACTGCCCATTTTTCATAAATATCAACTGGTGGTGAGGAAAACTTAACCATCTCTTTTCTTCCTTCATTTCAATACAACAGCAAATGTGATGTCACACTATCTAGTGGATAAGAATGTAGCAGACAAAACATAAGCACTGCCAGACTGCGCTGTATGCAAGTTTGTTTACATCCCTGAGCGGGAAAGTGTATAACAGGCTACGTGCACTGCTGCCATCAACCCTGTTAGTGTTGAATTCAATCTTCTGTGACTTTTTTAATTGGACCGGTAAAATGTTTAAAATGGTCATTTATGTTTTATTTAATCAGTTTTAGATATTTATCCACCATTAAATACATCCACTCATCTATGTTAATAAGGCAGACTTCGCAATTAATTGTTTTAATAAACTTAAATTCATTGCTAGAGGCAATACATCTGGCACCGCTGTTTCAATGATACTTTTACGATTGCTAGCAAAGCAGTAAAGTAGAAATGGTTTTCTTTGTGATGAATTTTGTTCACCAAGAGTTTTGTGAAGCAGTTGTTTTGAGTTTCGTGTATTCGATTGCGTTTAATTGTGCTATACTTCGAAGAACACAAGTAAGTAAATACAGTGAATGTGCTTTACCCAGGAAATTTTCGTTTTTTACCCACGAAATACAAGTTTTAAATTTTCGTATTCATAATATATGAATGTATGTGTAAACTAATGATGATGATTTTATGATATTTAAAAAAGAAGAAGAACACAAAATTACTTACCCTTTGTAGAACCTTAATGGAAGAATCTCAGTATTCTTTGGTTTGAACCTGATCAAATGATTTTCAATCAACTAGTTCCAAGCCCTATATACATCATGAAGGGCTGGCAGGACAGTTTTCAGTGGCTAGGTGACTATTTTCAAGTCAGTCACTAATAAGTCACATTTTACACTTTAAATTTAATGACTAGTCACTTTTTTACGACCAATAACGTTGAGAGTAAAAAATTTGTCTTTAAAAATCACATCATATAACAGCTTGATTTAGTAAAAAAAATAGTTAAAAAGATTAATTGAAAATCAGCGCTTAAGTCGGACGAACAAGAGTTGCGAACAGATCAGAACTGACCAATTGGTGTTGATGGAATCACCAATATTTATTTTTTTCAACTCCGTGATATAGACATTCAAGGCCATTATCTTCCAAATTTGTCCAGATCAGATTATAAAATTTATATTTTTTTCCTTTGTGATCTCGAAATAGTTATAAACAGGTTCATCACAAATTTTCTGAGATTTCCAAAAAAATATTTGGTCTCAATATCCTGGCTTTTTACTTTGTAATTTTGAAAATTTCTAAGCCTTAGTTTTCGAAAAATGCTTTAGGAAAATTGTTATGCTCTAGACCTTTTTTCAAAGACTAGAATTTTGAAAAAAAAAAATATGGTTGGTGCTTTAGTATTCGTCCAAACATCGAGAAAAAATCATGTCGCTGAATCTTAAATTCTTTTCTTAGTCCATTACATTGTATTGTATATTATCCGGACTTGTAATCTGGAATCAAAAAATTTCAAAGACCAAATTAAAAAAAAAGTTGAGAGTTGTGTCCAAAGCACGACCGCATTGTTGACGTAGAACTGCGAGATTATTTTTCGGTTCCATTCACCTACAAATTCTTTTGAAATTTTCATCAAAATTATTGATTAGTTCTTCAAAGTGATTTTAGGTGTTATCCATCTGAATAACATTACACAGAAAACGAAACTACCTCAGAGAGTGAGTAACTTTTGCACATTAGTAAGGATACATTTCTAAAAGCGTTGGTCACTCAGCGCATGTGTAACCTACGTAAAAGTGATTCACTCTCTGAATAAGATTCGTTTTCAGTGAATGAAGACTGCTTAAGCAAGCCTTTTGACTCAAATGTTACTAGCGGTGCATGGTGAGTTAACTAAGAGGCCAATCATGCGATAGGTATTGTCCATCCGAATAACTTCACACAGAATACAGAAACCTGCTTTCTGGCCGTGCTGTCAAGTTTAAACACTAAGCTTGATTATCCAATATCCAATTACTAGTCGAGATGGCAAGCTAAATATGTACATTGAAAACGAAAATTACTCAGACAATGAGTCTCTTTTACTGATTTGTATGATATTTTTTAAATCGTAGGTTACTCATGTCTTGAATAACCTACGCTTTAAGAAAAATGCTCATACGAATGAGTAAAAGTTATTCACTCTCTGAGTTAGTTTCTTTCCCAGTGTGCAACGCAACGAACACCCCTGTTTATCACTCGGCAGCCAACCGATGACTGCAGTCAAAATTAGTAATAGTAAAATTATGTTTATTTCTGTTGATTATGGTAGTACATTGATTTAACATTTTAATTGATTAGCCTACCTGACTCTTCATCTTTGTTTAATTTTATGTTCTAATTTAATATTTGCGTTTTTCCACTAGTTTATACCCTAGAATACCCCTTTGGGGGTGTGTTTTGTTTGAATTGAAAAAAGTGATAATCTACCTAACTACGAGTATAACTTAGCCTAACGTGCTAGATCACGTATGATCTGATAAGTTGATCTCAGACAGGTGTCTCTGAACCTTTCCAGGATAAAACCCTCCGTTCTTCTAATGTCTGAATTCCAGTCTGAATTGGTGGATGTCACAATTTCTAGTTCGCGGGGGACTGTTTAGAATCATTCTAAGGATCTTGCTCTGGGTCCTTTGGAGTTTGAGGTGATGGCATTTGGCGCAATTTTCCCAGATTGTCATACCGTACTCGATTACGGGAAGGATGATTGGTTTGTAGATAGCAAGCATTTTTTTTCAGGGATAGAGTAGACATGTTACACTTGGTTTTGGTTTTGTCAACGTGCTCCCTGAAAATCAGCTTGCTGTCTAGTGTTTAGCCGAGGTAGACTACCTCTTTCGACCATTCCACCACTGTGCCGTTCAGGCAGATCTTATTATTCACCGACGGAACAAGTCTGGGAGATTTAGAGTGTCGAAATATGGGTCTTTGCCGTGTTGATACGGATCTTCCAGCTGTTGAAATATTCAGACATGACGTCCAGGCCTCTCTGAAGTTTGGCAGTCAGAGCTCCGAACCCTACCCTTGTAGACGATGGATGTGTCATCCGCGAACGGAGACAACGATCCACCATCAGGGAGAGCCGGCATATCGAAGGTGAATAGGTTGAACAGGATGGGCCCAAGGATACTTCCTTGTGGAACCCCAGCACCGATGTTGAAAGCATCCGATGTGATGCCATTCAGAGAGACTCGGAACGTCCTGTTCGATAGGTAGTTGTAAATTATCTTCACTAGGAAGATTGGAAGACCGTAATGCTGCAATTTGAACACCAAGCCATCATGCCAGACATTGTCGAACGCTTTTTCAACGTCCAACAACGCTATGGCAGATGTTTTCGAAACAGACTTGTTTCGTCTGAGAATGTTTGTTACTCGAGTCAGCTGGTGGACGGTCGAACGACCTTTCCGAAAACCAAACTGTTCCTCGAGTAACAAGGAGCCGGTGATAGACTGCTCTTCCGAACAGTTTTGATAACCCTGAGAGAAGGGTGATAACTTGAAGGAGAGGATGGATCCTTCCCAGGTTTCCGGATGGGTATGACTTTAGCTGACTTCCAGCACGAGGAGAACTAGCCAAGTCGGATGCACAGATTAAAAATCAGTGCCAGATGGTTGTATAATCTGGAACTCCAGTGTTTGAGTTCCAGATTCAGGATGCTGTCGGAACCTGGGGCCTTCATGTTTTTAGATGAATTGATATAAGCCAACAGTTCGTCAGCCGTAATCTCTGATTCCTCGGAAAAATATTGGTAATCTGATGGAGGCTGGTTGCGTTTTCAGCAACCCCAGCTTCGTGAGGGCTGACGATGTTTTGTCCGAGATTATGAGAGCTGACGAAGTGTTGACCTATCGCGGGACTATCCAGTGGGGTCAGTGGTGGAATGGTTCTTGGCTTATTTTTTAAGAATTTTGGTTAGTTTCCAAAAGGGAGACAGTCTGGGAGAGAGCGGATCCTGTTAGCAAAGTCCTGATTTCTGAGGTCCAGAGGCTTGGCTGGTTTTTGTTAGGCGATTACAGTGGGTATTAAGGACAGGCAGACCAGAGCGTTGGTACTGCCTTCGGATGGTGTTACGGAGTCTTATAAGGTATTTGGTAGATCTGTCAAGGTGCAGTCAAAGTTTCTACGTTTCGCTTACTTAAGAATTTGGATTATCATTCTATGCCCCTCATTTTTTCCCTATTTAGCTGATGTAGGT